GCGCCGGATTCTGGTACGGCTTGAGCAAGCCCACTTAAAACACCGGGTGGGTGCGCATCCGTTTTGGAAGGTTTAGCGTATACGCTAGGCCCCGCTTGGCCACAACCTTAAAAGGTCCGATAAACCGTGGACGAAGCTTCGTCCTGAAGATAGCAGAGGCTGCATGTGTAGGAAGGTTTTTAGAATTTGATAAAACCAATTCCCCGACCTTAAAGCTTTCTTTTTTCCCTCTTTCATTTTCATCTGCATATTCTTTCTGCAGGTCTTGAAAGACAATGTCACTTATGACTACGGTTTATCAAATTATAATTGATGCAGCTAATAAAAAAATTTATATGTATAATATTAAGCCAAAGCTTCATAATATCAACATTAAAAAAATTATTAAGTTATAACAACAATTCAATGTGATTGCCGCACACAACAATTCGGATCGAAAGATATGATACTCATAACTACGGTTCGTAGATTTATATACCATCGGCAAAAACAGTTATGAATAATATATTAATAAGCCAAAACTCATAATAAATCGCGAACGTGTCGTAGGACATAGACAAGAAGTCATTGACTTCTTTGCGGATGGCGAGGGGGCTAACATCAGCTAGCCGTTCGGCTATTCCTCCCCAATCAAGCCCTGAGCCATGGGACGGCGGCGTCAGTGGGACGCGAGGGTGAACCAGTTCGTTCACGTAAAACGGCGTGTAGCCGGTTGACGAATGCACAGCATTGCTCAGCGCGAACTCTACGAGTGGCAACATGGCGCTCCAGGACCTCGGCGTCTCAGCGCAGACGCTGCGAAAAACATCTTCGATGACGCGATTCCCCCTTTCGGTTTGACCATCGGTCTGCGGATGATCCGCTGTCGACATATCCAACTTGGTGCCTAGCACCTTGAAGATAGTCGACCAAATTTTTCCAGTGATACGGGGGTCTCTATCAAAGCAATCGACTCTGGGAGTCCGTGTTATCGGAAAACACGATCCACGAACAGCGTTGTTGTACCGACTTCGTCGATGGTGGCTGGCACCGCTGCCAAATGAGTTATCTTGCTCAACCGGTCGACGAATACCACGACACCCGTGTTGCTCGCCAGACTTTCGGCAGGCCAAACACAAAGTCCAAACTCATGGACTGCCAGCACCCAGTGGGTA